GAGTTTCAAGAACCTCTAGCCTATGATCTAGTCCTACGCTAGCTCTATCTCTATTCGCATCTCGTAGGTTCGCCAATCGCGCGGTCAATTCCACCGCAACGGAGATTCTTCGCGAGTCCTTTGGGATCGTTCCTGCTTTTCTCCTTCGATTTCCTTCTCCTGTGCCGTGCTCGTTCGTTTGCTTCGCGTTCGTTCCCTCTTTGAAAGCGGAGCCTTCGGTCGGATGCGAAAAAACGGCTCGTTATCGCATCGAATTTTGCTGCTGATCGCGTTATTTTTGACCGATGAAACGACGACCGATCGTTCTGATCGACGTGGCGCGTTCACGAGGTTCAGCTCTGATCTCAAAGTCAGACAGGGAGAAAAAAGGAAGTAATTTGCGAGTCTCTTTCGTCGTCGTTTAAGCTGAAGATAGGTGTAGCCACCTAAAGACAGTCACGGTTGCTCGTGGAATGCAAAATGGCGACCGCGATGCGTTCGACGAAACTACTCGGTCGCCATTTTGGTGCACACTGGCAGAGCTGTGTACGTACACTGCAAAGCTATTACGTGTAAGCTCGACGTTCAAGTCCGTTGACTTCCTCGTTATTTGCGATATTCCGTCAGTTGAATTTCATTCGGAATTTTCGCCAGTCATCCGACGAAGGAAATTTTTATAGCTAGATATATCTATCCAGGTCTGCGTCCAGGAATACGCTTCGTCTAACGGTGCCGACTCTGCCACTGTCAGAATCGAAATACACCGGCGTGCTACTTTTCTTTTGTCGTTCGATAGAGATACCAGTTCGGTGAGATCTATACAGCTTGGAGAAATCTCGGATTCGCAGCTCGAGACAGCGCGACGCCCTCGCGCGGCAATTCCCCGGGCGATGGATGCCTCCGTTTCTAATTTGAAAGGCGAACCTTTGCACGGCGTGCAGCATCTCGCTAGCGCGCAACAGCGCGAAGAAACTTTGTGAATGAGCCTCTTTGCTTTGCAGGTTTCTCTTCGGGTCTCTGCTTTTCTCCTCGTTTCGCGTAAAAGAACAAAGGCTGATTTAAGACTGAGTAGTTTGGCATGCAAGTTCAAAGCGACCGTAGGTTTAAGGTTAAGCTTGTTGTTGCGGTCGCAGGAGAGAAATTTTCACTTCCGATAAGAGTTAAAATCTTTCAAAGAAGAGCCATCCATTCGTAGGGTATGTCACGCGCCACCCTTCGACGCGTTGACTGCGAGGCGGCAGCTTGAAAAACGAAAAGGCGCGCGGCGGGAAAGTAGCTCGAACCGGTGGCTGCCAGGAACAACAGCGCTTGGCCGGTCTAGCTGTCTGGTAGCAGGGTAGACGAATCGGGAGTAGCGGCCCTGACCGTGGAAATCAGAAAGAAGAAGTCAGGAAGGAAAAGAAACCTGTGCCTGTAGGAGGGCGCGGTTGGCGAGGGAGCGAGAGAAAAGAGACGAAGGAACGTAGAAATTAGAGGGAGAAGGACAGAGCGAGACGAGACGAGACGA